AGGGTTTACGGTTTAGGGTTCAAGGGGGAGGGTACGACGTTTAGGGTTTAGGGTCGAGAGGGACTCTTGGGAGTGCTGAGGGTTTAGCCTTCCAGATTCAGGCTACTGAGGCTGAAAGGTTTGGGGTTTAGGGTTTAGGGTTTAGGGTTGAGCTTCGGGGGTCTGGGCTTTGCAGGTTGTGTGGGCTTCAGGGTGGCTATGCCGGAGACAAGGGTGTGAGGACTGAAAATCGCGTTTGTGGTTCGGCTAGTGGTGCCGGTTGTCTTCTTCCTGTGGAAGTTTCAGGGCGGTTGCACAAGGCAAGCTCGTCTTAAATGCTCTTGGAAGGTTTACATGCCTTGTACTTGTAGTACTTGTTTAGGGGTCAGCTTCGATCGTCTCCAGTTACCCGTGCATTCCCGAAGGGCCCAAGAACCAATGTACTTGGTATATTCATTGACCCAGAGGGTCAGAGGATTCTACCATTGTGGAACTATTTAGGCCCCCACAGCCAGCCTAATCATGGTTTGTCTTAAGTGACCTACTGTTCCATAATAATACCGAGTGTTTGTGGAACCTCTTGGTAACCCAGATATTCACTGCAAATGCTGAGGTGAACGCCAGTTGCGTGCCTGGCACCGAGTTTCTTAACGAGCTTGAGATGTTGCATTTCCTGGGCCCATAGATATGCCAACACGGCAACCTTTTAAAGGCTTTCGTGCACTTAAAACTTTCTTTATCCCCAAATCCCGCAGAATCTACGTCTGTCGAGACCGACACCCCGCTCGGGTGCCGTCAAACAGGATGGGTTGGCTTATCCTAGACCCGAAAGCCTAAACCCGAAACCTGCTCCGCAGCAACCTACTAGTCATAATGCATATATATATATATATATACATATATGTAACTAGTAAAGAGAGAGCATGACATAGCATTCTATAATTGGATGTTATAGATTGTCATATTTGCTATACTGTATTCTGCCACATTTTATCATGTGATATTACAGTCTATATTATTATATTCGATTCTACTATAAAAAAGTGTTATATAGTGTAATACAATACTTTATATCATACTATATTATGCTATGTTATACATTATAGAGAAATATGGTTTTTATGTATATATATATATATGTGATATTTAAAATGATGTGTTATACTATATTGAAATGTTATATTGTATTCTATTCTGTTATCTTATGTTATGGTATAATTCGTATAGATATCCGAATACCTACATGGTTTGTATTCGTTGTGGTTAGCGGTACTTACGCATCCCATGTCCTAAAGCCTTCACCCAGACCGCCCTCCCCTAGTCCTAGCCTGACCTATCCTTGATGGTAAACAGGCTTGTTTCACACAGCCGGTGTGCACCTGAAGTCGTCTGCACCTGCACCGACCAACTACCCGAGGCATTGTCGGCTGCCCCTTAAACTGCAGGCAAAGCTGGAAGCAAGATCAGGGCTGTCGCTTGGGGATTAATGTTCAGGGGTTGTGTTCCAGCCAATGATTTTGACAGTTCAGATGTTCGATTCTTGTTGTGACCTAGCGGCATGCCGTCTAAACCAGTTGTGTCTTGCGGTTCGCTCGTCAAACAGCAGATTTCGAGTGCAGGCTTTCATTCATGCAGAGGCATGTTCAACTGCTCGACCGCCTGCACAGTTGTGATGAGTTCAAAGCCGGGCCTTGCAGAATGTGTGACCTTTCCAGCCCCAGAAACCCAGTCACCGAAAGCAATGCTTTACAAATACTCTGTCTATAAGACCTTGGTCTAGCAAGCCGCAACAGACACAAGTGAAGTGGCTTCCAGGTCATGTTGTGAAGGAGATGACCATTGGTAATGTACTGTTACTGTTACTGTTACCGTTACTGATACTGTTGCTAGTACTACTACTACTACTACTACTACTACTACTACTTCTTAGTACTTAGTACTTTGTACTTAGTAGTTGGTATCAGTACTAGTACTAGTACTGCTGCTGCTGCT